ATATTGGCATATCAAGGAGCTTCATTTTTGCTTTTAGTTATGCAGAGTATTAGTCTTTTGATATACGACGAATATGTCAAGAAGAAACACTGTCAGCACTTTATGGTTGTTTTGAATGGTCAGATTACTGCGAAAAGGCATTTAATTAAACACAAGATACGTCGCAAAAATATCGCCTTTCACCCTCATTCGTACGTTAAATTGCCTTCGGAGTCGAATCAGACGTTGAACTGTCCCAAAAAACTCTACACTATGTTTAATTCATGGACTTTGAAAATTTGTTTTTGTTATAAGAATTATAAATATTTGTATTGTGATTAGCTCATTAATTAAGACTATCCAACATCGGCCAACATTACCCAAAATAGCTAGTGTTCAAACGAGACCAACAATGTTACATCCAACACTGATACTGCATGACGTTGAAACGACATGCATGTTGGACTCATTTTCCCCTGATTTGTTTGTTTCATCCTTCCTTTTGGTGTGAAATCTATAATAAATTACAGTTAATTTAATATAATTATTTGTTATATGTTAATTATGAAACATGCCACATTAACAATGGACACAGAACTGCTTTGGAGATGCAGTACTTTGGAAAATACAAATACGTCAGCCACTCTACCTTCACCGAACGAGCATAGTACAAGACAAGGACAAGATTCATAGGACAAGATTCATTACGGCATAGGACAAGAGGACAAGATTCATTATAGGACAAGATTCATACATACATAGGACAAGATTCATTACGGCATCCGGAAAGAGTAGTGAACGTCAAGTGCACTATCTTTACATGACGTGAAATGTACTTCCAATGCATGCAATTTTAATGCATCACTAGAAAGTACCTTAAAGAATGACTTAGATAAATTTATTCACAGTTAATCTCGTTCCCACGTTATCGCGCATTTTGTATTTTCCCGGGCAGGTTTTATAAAAAAGTGATTAAAGTTAATTATAATTAAGTGGAAACGTCATACAATAAGAAGCGCGTATTTGAGAGTTAATCACTTTTAACTACAAAACAGTGATTAAAAAAGTGATTAAGAATTTTATACAACCGGCCCCTGTTCACTCCTTATACTATGATAGCAGTGACGTCATAACACAAAAAACAAAATGCTCGATAAATTGGAAAGGATATATATTGTGAATAAACTTTTAAGGTCATTCTTCAACATTTTTCATAATTTTCAAGCTAGGTACAGTAAAATGTCATGTGCACTTAAAACTAGGAAACATATGCATGCAGAAACCCTCGCCTTGCTGACAAAACCATTATGTTTTCCAAACATGAAGTATTGTCATGGTAACACGATAATTTTGAGAATAGTTTTAAAATTGAAAAATCCCCCCAAAAAATCACTTTTAATTACGAAATAATCAATTTCTCAAATTTATATATATATATGCTTAGATATGTTATCATACGTAATATATTAAGCTTCAATTTAATGTAAAATTCAACCACAAACGCTTCGCAAAACGTTTTAAAATGTTCTTAAAAATAAACTGCCTTTTATTGGTAACAATGAGTTTGAAAATTGAAATAAACTGATTTCAAATTCTTGCATGAAAATGATTTTGCTTTCCTCTTTATTTAAATATTTTAATATACTGTAGAAAAAAAGGATAATTAATAAAAATACACTGAAATTATATGCTGTCTTTTTTCACTTATATATACGCAACGATCCTATTATTTTTTAAAGCAATTATAAAGCAAACAATACATCAACATTAAAAACAAACTTACCTTCATTAACGTTGGCGACTTTGCTCCATTCTTCTAGACGGTTTTTGCCTCAAAGAGGTTTTGGAATTTGCAAAATCTTGCAAAAATACAATACATTTGCTGATTTGCAAGAAATGTTTGTTATTTCGCTGTCGTCATTTCTCACACAACAACAAATTTTAAATTTGACCAATCAAAGTTCGCTACTCATGACAGTCCACCACATATTTTGAAATCAGTGAAGATGATCATCCACTCAACACCGTTGGTCACCCACGCCCGCGATCACTGACGAACTTTAGACTTCGCTAATGCTTTCGTTTCCCCGGGTGTAAATAACCGGGCGGAGTTAGTACCCTCGCCCCGGGCTTACGCCAGGAACGGCGCTCCGCGCTTTTCGCTCGGGGATAACCATGTTGAATTGATTGTTTCAGATCTATTTTTGTTTGACCAATATTATTTGGTCAACCAATCAAAAATTTGGTTGAAATAACCCAATCTTTGGTTGTTTTAACTAAATAAAATATTGGTCAAATAAGTGCGTCCGAGACAACTAATTCAAATTGGTTGTTTTAATTAACTAATCTCTTTTTACAGTATGTATTAAGAGAAGATTTTTTTGTATGTTACGTAACACGCGCTCAAAGCTAATGCGTATAATATATCACTCGAGGTTATGACTAAATACAAAATTTTTGTTTTTCGAAACGTTTCTCAATCGGCAAACAAACTTAGAAAGTATGTTAAGTGCTTTATCTGTAAAATAATGCTAAAATGAAGAGATTTTAGATGATACGCCAAAGAGAAAATTATGTCTGAAGTTCAGTAAGTTTTGCTTATACGACTGTAAATATGGCGTCAATTTTAGAGCATCATTGATAATTGTATTCTAATTGACAATTTTTAACTGTTATTTCATGTTTCTCAACTGACAGATGCATCTAAAAAGGTAGCTTACGATTTTAGGTTTTGAATACTTTTCATCGCAAATACGTGACATTGAAAAAAATTGACTCTTAATTGAACACAAACTTTGTATGGGCACCATAGAAGCGGCCTTGGTTGCAGAATTTGCTAAGTTCAATTGGTATAGGGTGATCGTTGCTCAACGGTGCATGGTAAATTTTCGGCCATTGTCTCCCTAGCACCCCCCCCCCCGCACCACACACCTCCCCCCAGTTCGCCGCCTATGCTACTTTTTATGGCTCTCAAAGTCGCTAATGACGTCAAGTCTTCTCGTAACTAACTTTTAAATACTCGAGTGAGAATAACTGAGCCTACAAAGCTGCCGTTTCAACAAAATGATACCTATACAGGCATTTTATTTTCTGGCATAAGGGACCATTCATTATATATATGACCGAGGGTGGGCTGGAAAAATTCAATTCACAACTAAACAAAATGTCCTGCCCCACCGCCTGCATCACAAAAAAATTCAATGACTATCTTCACATGAATTCTAGAAAATAGCAACCCACCACCACCAACGACAATATATTAAATGTACAGTACTGCATAGAGATGAGCACTTTAAACTTGTTGTAAGGGGCTGATTACATGGTGCCGAGCTGGCCCGGTTAACCGGGCTGACTCGTTTGTTTAGGACCTTACTGTGGTTTTAAAACTCGCGTAAAATAAATTTGCGATAAATAATTGGTTTAGTATAGATGCAAAATCATCCTAAACCCGATTTAAAACTCATTTTGCGGCCCAAGGAAGATTTTCGTGACATTGTAATGTCTCGGTCCATGTAATCAGCCCCTAAGAGGCATCAGTTGTGCTTTCAACAATTAATATGCATGCCTATTTAACCCATTAATTAAGTTGCAAAGTTTCTTGTTGACGACTAAAATCGTCTGGCGTTAAACAAGTAAAAAAATAAGTAGGGTACACTGGGGCGCAATGAGTTAACTAGAGACATTGTGAGATTTTTTGGTTAACCCATTAAGCTGCAAAGCGCAAAAGAGGCTAAAGCTGGACGTCATACCATTTTTCGCTACTAAGAGTGTAGTAAAATGTTGCTCAAAAAGGAAGAAGTTGCTTGAAGTTGTTCGAGCCAAAAAAAGGTTGCTCCAAACGCAAAACGTTGCTCAAAAGTTGCTGAGCACAATTGGGACATGCCAAGCAGATGTTCCCCGTTGATAAGTAAAATCGGCTATAGGAGTATAGGGTTAATTACAGTGCCGTAGGAAGCTCTTTTTGATTGGGGAGCTGATAGCGAGGACTAAAGGCGCCACAAAAGTTTTTAATTTAGTGTCCCTGAAATGCCGTTTCCTGGACTTTGGGGAGGATTTGTGATGGTCAGAAAACAGCATTTTAGTATGTCGAAATTTTCAATTTAGCAGCACTAAATGAGCGAAGGCGTATTTAATTAACTATATATTGGATAAGTTGCAGGAAAGTACGAGAAAATATCTTCATTCTTTGCAGTTTGTCATGGATAATGTAGCCGCTTAAAATTAATCGATTGTTAGTATTTTAAATGTATATTATTGAAGGTCTGCATGATTTTGGAAAAAGATGATTATTATCAAATTATGGGGGGGGGACTGCACCCCCCCCCCCGCGTCTCCCGGTTGGCTACGGCCCTGGGTTAGGAGTCGGGTTAGGGTACTACGTCAATGAACTACAAAGACCGCTAAACAGCTAGTGACTCGCACATTTGACTCGGGCTTGGACTTCACACGATAAACCGACACACTCTTTACTAAATTAAACCATGTATAAAATACCTAGTATAAACTAGTGCATATAGTATATACCAAACTTTCCCTGGACGTAATGTTGCTATATTGCTTACTGGTTAATTATCTTTTTGATTAAAATGTACATATATAAAATTTATGGCAAATTCATTGCAAAAGTTATAAGGTATATGTTCAATTATTTTTCATATTAGCTATGCGCATTGCATTTTGGGTATTTGTGCATTGCATTTTGGGTCTATCTGCCTTGCTTGGTCCCTGTTAGCAATAATCGTTACATGTCAAATTTTTCACCACTATAATAAATAACCGGACCCCCCTTCTGAACTAATATTTTTAGGTGGCCCCCCTTTTTCGGTCAAAAATACCTCATGACCCACCCCCTTCTTTGCCAGCCCACCCCCAGTCATAATAATGAATGGTTCCTAAGGTCCTTCCTTTCTACATACTGCCGTAGCTACTAGTGGATTTTGTCCTACAGCAATCGTGTCCTACATAAAGTATGCTAGACACACATATAAATGGCTCAAAAACGCAATGAGAATTATATATTTATTGAATTCCATTTCTTTTCCACAGTAAATCTAGATCTAGGTAATCATAATTAATCAATACTAAGTTTATCACAATTATTTTATTTCTCTTCAGTTGAAAGGTCTTCATCCATCTCGCTCATTTTTTAGGTATACAAAGCTCTGAACAAAAGGAAGTTGGTTATTATTTTCAAATTAATTGCAGTAATTACATTTGTAATAATTATAAAGTGTATAAAAGAACTCGACCTTTAGAAATCAAACTATTGTTGTTAAGCACAAAGATTTTATGCTCCTGGGAATTTAATATAGCTTCTAACCGCACGAGGGCGCGTTACTGCAAAACAATTGTCAAATTACTAATTGATCACATCATCAGTTCGATTAGAAATGGTTCAACTGACCACATAGCAACGAGCTTTTACTGAGTGTTTTACGCGCAACGTTAAATTAATGAGCACATAATTCATATACATGGGCGTACCGGAAGGAAAAAATTAGGGGGGCGGAAAGAAATTTGCCCGACTTTTTCGGATTGTGCCCGACCAGTGCCGAAAATTTTTTTCCGGAACAAATTATTTTTGGCGACCAAAAAATTTCGGTCAGTGTACCATTTAAGGGGTCCAGTAATTTTTCGGACAAACCAAAATTTTTCCGAACATCATACAAATTTTCCAGACATCACAAAATTGATCACAAAATTGACAGAATTTTCCACAAAATTGACAGAATTTGTCCCTTTTATTTTTATAATAAGCCAATATTGCCCGACAGTGGAGCGAGTATTGCCCGACTGGCTTTGTTTGCCCAACAAACTGGGGGGGGGGGCTGCCGCCTCCCCCCCCACCGCCCGGTACGTCCATGTTCATATATGTTGGACGAAACCAAATTAAAGTGACGTCACGCATAATATTCACTTCCATTCTGTTTTACGCACCCGTAGGTTCAGCGTAGTGCTTTGCATTCAAATTCCAACAATAGCTTCATTTTAAAGGTCTCTTTTTGTCACCCTGTACAGTATCAGAATGGCGTGATCTTACCAAACACATAAAATACTCGGCCGCATTACATTTCAAACCAGTTTCAATAAAGTATATGTAAAAAATTTATAGCCTACATAGCTACACTCCAAAAACGCTCTTGCCTCTTGCAGTCAAAATGTTCTTTGTTAAAAGCCCTGTCACACTATTGCGTATCGTACTAGCGTATGCCAGCGTATGAAAAATATCACTGATACGCTGATATACGCTGACATACGCTAGGGGTACGTTAGGCATTGGTTGTATACGTTTCAAACACGGTCGCGTACGGTGGCATACGCTGGCATACGGCAAGGCAGAAAAATTTTTTTAAGCATGTTCAAAAATTTTGTGCGTATTGGCCGTATGCTTTATAGGGTAAGCATATTCTATAGGCACACGCTGAATACACTAGAGGTACGCCAGATATACGGTACTCATACGCTGGCATTTCAAAGGATTTTTGTGCGAATGAAAATTATTGCATTAATTTTCATACGCTTCTCATACGTTTCTCTCATACGCAATAGTGTGACAGGGCCTTAACGTAGAAATAATTTTCCTTAATTAATAGGGTTAACTTACTATTAATTGCAGGTTAAATTTTATGGTTATTTTCACAGATCTGTGCGGATATCTTTTGAACTATAGGGAATTTATACGACAAATTTTATCAAAACAAAATGTAGCCCAGGAAATTAGCATATCTTTATAGAAAATTTCAGAGTAATCCGGCTAAATCTGTGCCAGCTTGACCTTTGAACGAAACAGACTTCGCGTGATGTGCAACCGTGGTTCAGGGTGCAGAATGCAGATAGAACAATTATATTACACACACAAAAATTTCGCATCTTAAGCACCAAATCTGCCAATAAGCCGTCTACAAGTTGTGTCAACATGCAGTTAACCGCAATACACCCTACAGGAAAATGTTCAGTCCCATCATACATCCTCGTTTTCATAATAGAGACACCCGGTTTACAGCCCTTTATCTTGTTACAGGTAACACACTTTCGAAATCAGACAGTTATGCTGGAAAATACTAAATTATATTAGAAACTAATACATATACATTCTTGTATTGGTTAAAGTTAAATTATATTTGTACCACATGCTCACGTATTTTTCCCATACGCCTTCGTGCGTAAATTCGGATAGAAAAGTCAGTAATGTCATACCTATATTCATCTCGCAGTGTTTCCCTGCAAAACCTTCAGTACAACTGCAAAGATAGTCGCCATGGTAACCCAGACACGTTCCACCATTCACACATGGTTTAGACTCACATGGAAACTCTGTGCAAAAAAGAATAACAAATTGTTGGGCAAAAAATAATACCAAAATAATATTAATCCTGTATCAAAATACATGCATGTTCATTACATAGTTTCAATAAGTGTGGAATAAAAGAACCTCAAGTGTTCAGTCATTCACTTCCAGCCGAAGACCTCGAACGCGTGGAAAGAAGAGTGGTGACCATTATCTTATCAGAACAGTTTTATGAAAAAATCTTGGACCGCTTTCAACCTTTTCCAAAGACGCCAAGACATTTGTAGAAAACAATCATTAAATTAAATTAAATTAAATTAAATTAAATTAAATTAAATTAAATAACCATCACTCAAGCTTCTCTTTAGGGTTAAAAATGTTTTTAATAATTTCACACATGGTTACTGATAGATGTCACAAAACAGTTCTGTATGTCATGTGTGGGCTATATCGTTAACTTTCCCTTATTCAGCTATTTAATTTTACATAAATTCGCAGATTTAACCAATGACGTTTCTATCAGTTTATTATTAATTAAATGTTAGATGTTTTATATGTAATATTTTTGAAATTTATAAATCAATTAAGCGATTCAGCCTTGGGGTACGATGTGAATATCCTAATAAATATATCTATATCCAGCAAATTAATTTGCCATAAATGTTGATAGATTAATGAATTGAAACTTCAATATATGGCTTTAACATTGACGAATACATCATATTAATTGCCTCATATTTTGCTTTACATGCAGCGCCCAAGAACGTAGGCTACTTCTGCAGATATCCACTGATGTCACTGGACGGAACCGACTACTGCAGCCTTTTACTGTGCAGCTGCATGGAGTGTAATTTCAGCTAGGAACAAATTCTGGAATGAAGCTCTCCAAAAAGAAAACATCTAACATTAAAACGACACGACATCTTATAATTATTCTTTCACCTCTTGTAATATTATATCTCTTATATTTCTCTTTAATGTGATTATTTGTAACTGTCCGCCTCGATTAGCTTTTGTTATTTGCGGATAGATTGTCATTGTAAATATTTATAGTTATTAATAAAATTGTTGTTGTTGTGGTCGTCGTCGTCGTCGTCGTCGTCGTCGTCGTCGCCGCCGCCGCCGCCGTCGTCGTCGTTGTTGTACATGGAAACAATATCATGCCGATTTGCCACGTTTCCTTAAGGAGTTTTGTGAGGAATGAATATAATGCCCACATATATATCTTCCTTGTAGCAAGTCTGTTACCGCCATAAACATTTTAACAAAGTGATAACAACTTGTTCAGGATTTGTCACAACAACTTGGAACAAGCAATACACTTCCTGATCATTATAAATATAGCATTGTTACAACTAATCGTCTAGTTTACTGTTTGTCATAATTTGCGCGTTTTTCCGCGTGTACACTTTACTAAAGCTCTCGCCCCTCCCATTAACAATTCAAATGTTTGACTCGTATTACCTTTCAGACAACCACTAAAATCAGCTCTGAGTGCAACATTCCCATGCCATGACCGCGGTTGAATTCTGATATACCTAGCCACGATGACAGGGGAAATATCCTGACGCACAATTGTGTTTTGATCTCTGTTTGCTGAAAACACCTGAGGAAAAATATGAAGGATTTAATCAAAATCTTGAGCACGATGTAGGCTCCCGTGAGAGCCAAATTCCAAGGAATTTCCCCCTTTCTGAGGATTATTATCCTAGGAATTCCTTCAGAAATTTAACCCTCTGTTATAGACGCAATGATAAGTCCCAATACATTGCCATGTTTTAGCTACATTCCGTAGTTAAAGTGCTTGTGCAACGTAATTTTATATCATTCCTATGATTGCAGTACAATGATTTGAATGATTACAACGATTTCATTGGACACAATGATTTCATTACAATGATTACAATGCCTGCATTTTACACCATATTTATGATTGCATATACAATCAAAATTTAAATGTACGAAAGAAGATAGTTTGCTAAACTATCTTAGCTCGTTTCGTTCTTGAGATATTGACAATATTGATATGTAAATTATCCTCATTGTGACGTCGCATTACATAATAACTTTCTCGAAACTTCACGATCTTGATCTCATCGTGCATCGAAATCACAAAACCATTCTTGTGTGTTATGCTAACGCAACACAAATATATGTCAACAAATTTGAATCAATTGCTTTTAAGACTTATAAACATTTTTTTTTAGAAAGCCACTGCAACTACTTGGCTTCAAAGAGAGAGGATAATACTTCAAGAAAAAAAAGCTAAGTAAGTATCTTACTGGTAATATCCTGTCGCTCCACAAATAAGATCGAACTGTAAAACTTATTTATTCAAACACAGTAACCGTATATTCGTACATTTGTGCAACAATAAAATATTGAATCCGGCTTTTTATATTAAGAACAGTTTAGGAAAAATTCTCATTCTGAGTGGTAAAGAGACAAATAATTACACATAAAATTAATTCAACTACCTTCACCACTCCATTTTGACGATATGGATGAAAATCACGACCATTACTGCTGTAGGATAAAGCGTAACTTTTTACCCACTGGGGATAATCACCTCGTCCTTGTGTTAATACTTCAGAAACTGTTGCCTGAAGTTCAAAATCTACTTGCAGCCATGATCCAGAGGCCGTCCTTGGAACCCACGCGTAACTATTTCCTGGCCGGCGTAGGTTCAGTCTTGCATTTTCTGCGCCATGGTTGCTAGCCCATTCCGATGAAGCGGTAATTTGTGCGTCCAAGATCTCACCATTTTCCATGCCGAGACGCAATGGTTCCTTGCAATCTGAAAAATTAAGTAAGCGTGCACTTCATTTTACAGTGAGAAGATTGGCAATACAGGTGTTTCACCTGCGCGACAATGATTCGAAATGTAATACATTTGGTTTTATAAGAATAGAGATTTCCGTTACGTAAGTGCATGGTAAAATAAAAATCGTATCCTCACGGCGGATGATAATTTACACATGTGAAACTTATCATATCACTTTTTTGATTGGTCGAACATTTCTTTCCACATATTTTAAATTGTCGAATCAGCGTTTTGATTGGCTAGTTGTTCCGCGCTCATAATTGTAAACATCGCGCGCTGTTTTAGCGAAGTCGATAAGATGAGAGTTTTATTGCATTTTTTCGCTAACAAAGCGACTATATATACCATCAGTAACAAAACACGCTAAGCTAAAAAAAACCAGAATATTATTAATAACCTCTCAATTTCACCGGAATTCCAGCAAGAAAATAAATAAATAAGCATTATAAGGAATCTAGAGCTGTCTTCTAGGTTACGTAAAGTATACGTCGCATGTGTCTCGGTCGCTGTGAGTCGGTCATGATCAGTGTCCAATATTTATATCTCTCTACGCGCCGTTATTACAAATGTTGGTTTGTTGACAATGTTGTTTCATTTTATGCAGTTTCGGCGGATCCTAAAAGCTTCTGTGCACTCTATACCTGTAACGCCTCGCAGGGGGACTATCGCCCTCTGATTGTTCCCCCCCCCCCCTGCCAGCACGCCACTGCCGCCGATGTGCCATACGTATTGTTGTTGTATCGTTACCGCTTATAAGGTCAATGTTTTTTGCAGATTTGTTTTCTTCGTTATAATAAAACACCTGTTAGATCATATTTGCCCAATCAAGCAAAATATTGATGAACTGATATTTAAGTATATTGGGCTTCGAATAATTTTTTTTTTACAATCTTTTGTGAGGAAGCCTTAACATCAAAAATGGTTTTCATAAGAGTCCTAAAATAAGAAGGAAATAATTATCTACATAAAATACTGACTATAAATATTGCTATCTACTCCAAATAAAATACAGCATGCAACAAGATAATGAAAAAAAATTAATAATTAATTAGAAATCCTAAGAAAGTTCAAAAAGTTAATTAAATTGTCAATTAAGTCCACACTTAAAACACTAAGATAACAAGTTATTCATTACATACTGAGACATATTTGCTTTTAAAAGATAAAAAGCTACTAGAATCTTTAACAAATGGCGGAAGATTATTCCATTCATTAAAAAACATATAGTGCGATGTTTGTCGTCCCCAATTGGTTCTACAAAGGGGGAGTCTTACTAACTGTTTATTTCTTGTATCATGACAGTGTAAATCACTTCTTTTAATTTCTTCCATATTAATTTTTAAAGTCGACATTATTGTTCAAGGCTTTATAATTAACCTACAACCTGTGTAATTAACCTATAATTAACCTATTAATTTATTAACCTTTATAATAAATATTAATTAACCTATTAATTTATTAACCTTTATAATAATTAACCTATTGATTAATTAACCTATTAATTATTTATCTTCTGTAATCAGTGGCAAATACTGCAATTTCATTGGTTTACAGGAGTGCGATTTGAGCATTAATCGCACCTTTTCTGAGCTGTAATCGCACTCTTGTCTACAGCCAATGAAAATCAGTCTAGTATTTACAACTAGCCAATCAGCATTCAGGATACAAACTTTGAATTTTATTTTCTTTATTGCTGTAAAAAATTTCAAAATGGAGGAATTCACAAATTTTGACCTTTTAATTTTAAATCAGCCCTCGAAAACCGTCAAAATTGAGGTCGGAAAAAAAAATGCCGACCTAACCTGACCTAGCTCGGTGCATCTCGGCATTTTTTAAAATCTGTTTCCATGTCTTGGAGCACTAGTAGCCTGCACTAGTAATCACGTATTTACGATCGATCATTGAAAAGTATAAATGTCACGAAGCCTTTTCTTTTAGAGTTTTACCTAAATTACATCATAAATATACCCGTTAATAATTCTTAAACCTTACACCAAAGTGCATCGAATTCTATAATCGCTGACTTTTTAACAGCTATAAGCACCAAAAAAGATTATTACTTTGGCTGAATTAAGGTCGGCAAAACATTGCCGACATGGGAGGTTGATAGGTCGTTAATACTGTAGGTCGGCATTGCCGAATGCAGATCTCGTTTTCGAGGGTTGTTAAATTATATATTTTATGACGAAAATGACCTACCTGTTCATCCAGCAGAAGACACCGAACTAAACACAACCAGGAGTTATATTTCAATCCAATTCAGATGATTAATTGAACTAAAGAACTTCACTATTTTCAACACGTTATAAACATACAAACATGGCTTCCCAATTGTGTGTTGAATAATTCAAACAAATGTTGTCATGTGATTATACCGGAAATAATGCCCGGAAGTTAATAATATGTTAATTTGATTATATATGATAAACAATAATTCAAAATTGTACTATTTCACTAAGAATTGTCGTGACAAAAATTTAATAATTATATTGAACTTCAACAAATTGTATTTTTCTGCTTTTCCCCCTTAAACAGTTTGATTACAGAAGATAAATAATTAATAAGTAATAGAACGAATTAAAGTCGTACTATTACCATAGATTAAGAAATGAATAGATGGCTCACTCCTTTGAAGTTTTTGATGCCACCGACAGGTGCAACTTCCGGTTGGCCGCCATTACCAAGGCTGCCACTCGTAGGGGGATTCCCCTACAGTAGGGGATTATCACCTCTTGTAGGGAGTAGGGGATACCTACGGGGAAAACGGTAATTTGTAGGGGAACGTAGGGGGTTTCTTTTACGGTTTATCTACAAAAATCGTATTTCTCTTTTTGTGATTATCCAAATCAGTCCTTCCGTAAATTTCAATATTGTATGTCTTCTATGGAGTATGGAACATTGTATGGAACTGCAGGATTTTTTATGGAAACAACTAAAAATTTAAATTTGAATGTGGAAGAAGTGAAATATCATGTGATGAGTATATGGTGATAAGTGATATTGTATTTACCCAGGAGAACCTGCACACGAAAAGGGTGCAGCTAAAAACATGGCGGATTTTGGCCTTTGCTGACTACAATTTCCACACCCCCTAGTTATCTGAAAAAACTTTAGGTTTTTGCAATTTTGCTCAGGTTTTACAGTAATACGGAGTTTAAGCTTCACGTTTGCGTGCCGAGCGCCAAATGGCAAGGTCGACTTTTCTTGGCATAATTTTCGTTCGATTTCTGCGTGTCTATTTTCTTTCATATAAAACAACAAGTCCATTTACTTTTAATTGCTTTAGATCGTGGAATTTTTCTTTGCCTGGCGTTTGTCGTTGAACGTGAAGCTTAACTTTCTATTGTGTAGTAAGTATAGCAGCAGGTCCTCCAGTTATTATACAGCCCAGTGTATTTCCCTACAAATATACCATATTTGTAGGGAAAATACAATATTTGTACGGGGAACGTAGGGGAACATAGGGGAAAATTGCATATCGTGGTGTAGGGGAAACGTAGGGGATTTCAGTGCCCGCCCTAGGTGAAAATAGGTTGTTGAGAGTGGCAGCCCTGGCCATTACTCTGGCCAGTAAAGTGCAGCCAGAACGAATAGAAAATGTATTGTAAAATTGGCATCGCGCGCATAAAAACTTCATTTTTACCGGTTTTGGACACCTGAATTCAACGTTTACGGTCGGAAATTAAAATTAGAAAGGTAAGAAAGTATTATTATCTGTTTTATTAGCCCTGAAAGTGTTTTTTTAAATCAAATTTTGTGCTCTTAAATATGGCTAGTTCGGCCAGCCAGACATAAAAGAACATAGCTTTTCGTCCCATTTGCTGTATGTTTTCATTCGAAAGTAACATGAATATTACTTCAAACGAAATTTATAAACTATGAAAGTTACAATCCATGTACACTTTGACAATTCATGAACTCATTCTTGCAATAGATATACAGTATCTCTGATGTATATTACAGTGTCAGTATATATGTCTTTTCATCACCATTTCTCTGCCAAGTTTAATAAACATGTCTTTTTAAGTTCACTGTTTTCTTGAATTAGATATTTTTCTACTAAATTTTGCCCAACTTATTCAGATGCAGCCCAGATGGCATCAAACTATGTAGAATATAGTTTATAAACTGCTATATTTTTAGGCTAGTTTATAGATGGCTAACTTTAATTTAATGTACTTTCTGCTCTTTCTTCCTTTTTTAGTTGAAGTTAGTTGATGGTGTAATATATACGCATCCTCAGAAAAAGCTTTAACATGTAGTCCATAGGAAACTCTGTGCAAGAATGGAATGTGATGGACACACTTTGGAGGCTCTTTAGCAAATTAGCACCAACTAATTTGGACCTGTTATATGCTGAGAACTGCTGCACAAAAACATCTTCTAGATGCAGAACAAAATCAAGGAAGTGCTGGGATGGTAGGATTAATCCTTGAGACTGTGCTCTCATTGTAGTTCTTATAATAACAGTACAACAAATTTGCAGAATCTGCAGTTTGGGACATGGTGGCTTCTTTGCACAAAGAGCATTCGTGAACAGTGAAGCACTTCTTGAGAAGGTATCCGGCAACATATGCAACAGCATTTTGTTGGACAATGCTGGAACTGACTTCTTTCTCTCTGTAGTCTGTTACTCCTAACACCAATGTTTGTGGTTGATGACCAGGTCTCACCAATGCTGCATTGTTAGAGCGGTTTGAAAGTTGGGAAAGGAGTGAATCCAAATCTTGTGCACAGTTACCATTGCCAGAGGTGAAAAGAGAACTGAAAAGAAGTTTCCTAAAGGCCCTAGTGAACTGTATTGGTGTAGGGTTGTCACTATTCCCTCCCTGTTGCCTTATTGTACCAAAAAAGCTACAGCACTTGCGTTTTGGGTGTGGAGAAGAAATTTTAGTTTTAAAGCAAAAGTTAACCCCTCAATGCAAATGACAATTTTCTTGCATTTTAATTGAAAGTCATAGTTTTCTCAAATATA